AGACGCTCATCAACAAGCCACTATGGACGACGAATCAGCGCCAATTGCTATGATATCCACCGGCAACAAAAACCCCGGTCATATTTGTACTCATTGCAAGCGTCCTGGTCACTTGGAACCAAGATGTTGGGTCGCTCGTCCTGAGCTTAAGCCAACCTACGCTCGTGGTCCGTGGAAAGAAGACTACCGCTGCTGTAGCTACACCAGCTTTACCAGTGGCTTCTTCATCTTCTGTCACGCCTTCTGGTCCTGTTTCAACTGCTATGTATGCTGGCATGGATTTGGATACCCCATTGTCAGCCCAATCCTATTTACACTCAACTACCGCTCTCAATGTTTCACTTACGCCTGTGTCTACTCTTCTCAATTCAGGTTGTTCTGATGTAATGTTCGCAAGCAGAGAATCCTTCTCTTCTTACTCGGACTTTATCTGTAACATCAACATTGGAGAAGTTGGAAGAACTGTTCAAGCAGTTGGAAAAGGGGTTGTCACTGTTCAAGGCGCTGGTGGAACTGTTATTTTTGAAAATGCACTTCACGTTCCTGTACTCCCTTACAATCTTATTCCACTTTCACTTTTATGGCAAAAGGGTTCTCAAATTTTGTATCATGGAAACGATACTTTTACTGTTATTTGTGGCGACAAACTTGTATTTGATGGACTTGTTAAAAACCGTCTACTTTTTCCGAACATTTCTATTATTCAATTTCCTTCCAATAATAACTCCTCTTTTTCATTCAACTTATGGCATGATCGCCTTGGACATATCAATCATGATTACCTAAATTCAACTGCTTCTCACACTGATGGAATTGATAAGATCCCTGGTAAGGATTTCTGCGATTCATGTGCTATCAGTCGATCTACTCGTGTTCCTTTTTCTGGAAAAATTCCTTGTCCCAGCAATCCTCTTGACGTCATTCACACTGATCTCTCTGGCCGCATCAACCCTCCAACTCCATCTGGCTTTGAATACTTTATGAAGCTTACTGATGGCCACTCTTCTTATCGCTGGATTTATCTTTTACGCTTCAAGAATGAAGCCCTTGATAAATTCAAAGAATGGAAACTTCAGGTTGAACGTACCACTGGTCGTGTCGTTAAGAAACTAGTCAGCGACGGAGGTGGGGAATTTGTGAACAATCTTTTTGGTGATTATCTTAAAAATGAAGGTATCACTCACGACATCACTGCATCTCATACGCCTCAACAAAACCCTTTCTCTGAACGAGGAAATCGGACAACAAATGAGAAAGCCCAAACCATGTTACATTGTGCATCTATGCCAGCTTTTATGTGGGGCGCCGCTGTCATCACAGCAGTCTATCTTGAGAACCGCACTGTTTCCAAATCTTGTGATGGTTTGACACCCTACGAGGCTTTTCACGGTTCTATCCCTTCTGTCGGCCACATCAGGATTTTTGGGTGTGCTGCGTTTCGACATCTTACTCATGGAAGGGAAGGGAAGTTCGGACCCCGTGCCGAGAAACTAGTTCTGGTGGGGTTTGTAGAAGGCACCAAAAACTATCGGCTTTATGATCCCTTGTCCGGAGCTATTTTAACATCTCATGATGTAAGATTCAACAAGTCTGAATTTCCTTTTCTATCTCTTTCAAAAGACCCATCTACTGCTGTTGTTCCATTCACTGAAGAAGCTATTCTCGGTCGCGAACCCGTACGCGTTCGACTTCACCGTCCTGATCTTGCCAAAGAATTACGACAAGACCATACTCAAATGACGGCTACTGCACTAATTTCCATTATTGGCAACTCCATTGACGATTCCGCCAATCTTTCAACCCTTGATCTTGAACCGAATCCGCCTACTTATGCGAAAGCTCTTCTTACTCCACACTCTACTAAATGGAGGCAAGCTACCTTTGAAGAATTTGACTCATTTGCTGCGAATCATGTTTTTGAAATAGTCGATGTTCTACCCAATGGTCACAAACCTATATCTACTCGTTTTGTTTACACACGAAAGTTTGATGACTCTGGTTTTTTGAACAAATTTAAAGCCCGTTGTGTTGCTCGTGGATATCTTCAAGAAGAAGGCAAGGACTTTGAGGAAACTTTCTCCCCTACTGGCCGCCTTGCGACTCTTCGTGCACTTTTTGGCCATGCAGCTGTTGAAGATCTTGAAATCCATCAAGCTGATTTCATTACTGCTTTTTTGAATTCTGAACTCGGAGAAGGAGAAGTCGTCCACATCTGAATACCGGATGGATTTGTTGACTGGATCAAACAACTCCCAGATTTATCTCCTTTTCATCAATGGTTACCGGCTCTTCTTTCCCGTTGTGGATCACTTTGGCTTAAACTTCTACGTTCCTTATATGGATTGAAACAAGCTTCTCGCAGTTGGTATCTCACGATCAAGGCCTGGTACTATAAACACGGATTTGTTGTTAGTAATGCTGATGCCTACTTGTTCATTTACTGTGGTAAAAAGGGTGATAGAATTCTTATTTACATGTGGGTAGATGACATTGTCATAGTTGGAAAGAACATTGGTTGGGTACTGGACGCCTTGAAAGCTGATTATTGCATTAAGGATTTAGGCCCTGTGAAGAACATGCTTGGTATGCAAATTAAGCGAAACCGGGAAACGAAAACTCTTGCTATCTGTCAATCAAAATATATCAATGAACTACTTAAAGTTTATGGGATGGAAGACTGCAAACACTTAGGACTCCACTTCAATCCAATTTACCTATTCTGCCTGGCACTGACGATGAAGTCTTGGAATTTAGAGCCAGTGGACTCAATTATCGACGTGCTATTGGTTCCCTCAACTATCTATCTCAATGTACGTGACCCGATCTTTCTCACCCAGTTAGCCTATTATCTCAATTTTTGGAAAAACCAACTATGGCGCACTGGGGACATTTCAAACGGGTCCTTCGATATTTGCGTGGCACTAGCACATTATGTCTTACTTATGGTATTCAACCTGTAAATGAAACTCTCTTAAAAATTCAACCTGATCTTACCGGACAACCTGTTGCTTTCTCAGACTCCAATTGGGATGGATGCACAATTACCTGACGGTCAACCTCTGGTTACACATTTATCTTTAAAGGAGGTGCTGTTAGTTGGCGCTGCAAGAAACAACCAACTGTTGCACTTTCTTCTACCGAAGCTGAATACAAAGGTTTCCTTGATGCTGGACAAGAAGGAATGTGGGTTCGTAGGTTAATGGCTGATTTTGGATATGATCAACTGGTTTCAACTACTCTTTTCGGAGACAATCAAGGGTCAATAGCCCTGTCTTGTAACCCTGTATTTCACAGTCGCACTAAGCACATTGAAATCCATTTTCACTGGATACGTGAGAAAATTCAGGACAACATTATTGATATCAAATTTTGTTCTACGAATGATATGATTGCTGATATACTCACCAAATCTCTCGACAAGTCTAAACTTCAACAATTCCAACGAGATCTTGGATTGATTGAGGACAGCAGTTTAGCTAATGAGGGGGGGTTTTGTAGTTAATCTGGCCTAGGCAACATTTTATCTCATTTCTGACCAGATTACTTTTACTTTTCTCGTTACACTAAACTTGTCCCTGTTTTAGTTATAACTGACATAATGAGCAAACCTAGAACTGGACTAGTGACTATGTACTTGATGGCGTGTTAGCAGAGATGGATAATGAAATGGCTGAGACATAGAGATATTGTAGCGTGAACTGTGTGATGTTTTTGTAGGCCCTTATAAGACTTCTTGTATAAATAGCGTCTTTTGTAGCCTTGTATTTCTTTTTCTCACTCACTCTTTCTCGCTACTTCTCATTTTGTCCACAACCTTCCTAACCATCTTCGACAACCTTCGCATCGTCAGGTGTGTATTCTTTCGCTTGTTGTGATTAGTATCCAACAAAGCTCTTTAACTTACACTAGCGCTATTAGGTCTGCCTCTTGACTTTTCTCTATTTTTTCCTTTTTCACTTTTTCTCTTTTATGTTGCTTGTGAATGAAAATAACTCACTCTTTCTCGCTACTTCTCCTTTTGTCCACAACCTTCCTAACCATCTTCGCCAACCTTCGCATCGTCAGGTGTGTATTCTTTCGCTTGTTGTGATTAGTATCCAACAAAGCTCTTTAACTTACACTAGCGCTATTAGGTCTGCCTCTTGTCTTTTCTCTATTTTTCCTTTTTCACTTTTTCTCTTTTATGTTGCTCGTGAATGAAAATAACTCACTCTTTCTTGCTACTTCTCATTTTGTCCACAACCTTCCTAACCATCTTCGCCAACCTTCGCATCGTCAGGTGTGTATTCTTTCGCTTGTTGTGATTAGTATCCAACAAAGCTCTTTAACTTACACTAGCGCTATTAGGTGTGTATTCTTTCGCTTGTTGTGATTAGTATCCAACAAAGCTCTTTAACTTACACTAGCGCTATTAGCCATATTTTTGGTTTTTGCCCATTTTTGCCCGTCCACAGACTTAGGTGCATACGAAAGTTAATACACTTTTGCAATCTTCACGATTTGCGAACTTTAACCATCTCAAAATCGACATCGCAAAATTCTCACGCCCCCTATAGTATTTCAATGATGTAAAACGAAAATACCTAGAATTTTTATAATTGATATGGATGAATCTTTTTAGAATAGTAATTTTTTCAATGAGGAAAAGGCAATAGAGAGATCAGAAGGATAACAAGTCTTGAACCATTGCTGAGCAAAGATCCTTCTATACAGATGATGATTTCGATATCGCTAATGATCTCACTAAGATGTGGACGGCTAAGCCCACTCCAATTGATCCTTGCATCAATACCCAGTACTGATTTCAACTCTTCAGAATAAATAAAATGATGATGGCACCAAGAATCGAGCATAATCAGCGGCGCTATGCCATGGGTTCATATGCATTCACCCCTAGAGACTCTCAGAGAGAATTAAAACCTTTATAAACTATATAGCATATGTAGTAACATTTGATAGCTTCACAAGGAACAACACTTGGATCGAGCAGAGGTTTCTTGTTAACCATAAGTGTAGCGGTATGGATGAGCCTCAGTGTCTAAAGGAGAGAGAGAGCCAATGTGACGTCAGAATCTGAATTGCAAGATTCAAAAGCCATTGGGAGCTTACTAAACACATATTCATCGAGTGAAAAATGATACGCCGGGGCAAATATTAAGTACAGATACTGTGAAATTGGGGATCAAAGACTCGGATATTAGCTCTATCATTGCGAGCTTATGCAAGTTTGTATGGGGTTATTTCCTTACCTTAAATGTCTCAGCATAGCTGCGTTTACAAGCGCAGTGGATGAGAAAAGACCACAAAAGTGAGAATCTGCTCTGTTTTGAAGGTCCAGATCAGGAAGGAACGTGACTGACAAAAAACTTTCAGATCTATTGATTTGAGTGACATTCCTTGCATCGTTGACATTCATTATGGCCGCATAACTAGCCGACGCTTTACAATACTTATTCAAAGCTTGGAAAGCGGACCATGCAAATTCCTGATAACGTTCTTTGCCCGTCATGCGCCATGCGTAAAAAACCGACTCGATGACTTCGGGTCTGCATACCAGAAAACGGAACCTATAAGCTGGGAGGATCTAAGTATATTGGATTGTAACTAGACAGACCAGACTTGCCGTAATATGTAAGAAGACTTTGAAATGTAGAAGCCGTGCTTTTGGTTGAATTGTCGATCCTATGTGAAAGAAAGAAACCCGCTAAAATATTGATGCATGTATATGTACTACAAAAGAAGGTTGAAATGGATATACCTCTGCAGTCATATTAGGCCCAGTCACCTCTCCCTTGGGTCCGAGAAAGTGCAGAATTTCAGGACCTAGCCCAGTCTCCGTACTTGTATACTATTCCAAAAGAACCAAGAGAAACTATCGCATAAGCAAATCAAGGGAGCGGAGATGACTAGTTGGTGTACTTAACTGTGTGCATACAAGTATCAATCAATTGTATACCATAATTGACTACTGTCTCATCGCCAATCAGCTTTCCACCCAAGAGCCAGTTCCCTCCAACAAAGCATGCTAAATGGGAAAATATGTATTGCGGTCCCTCCATGCTTTTGGAAAAATCTATGAGGTAGGTGTGTCCGTTGGACACTGTCAATAAATTCTGAATCGATGAGTAAACTGCTTTTTTCCACTCTGCTCGCCGGCATTATCATATTTCGATACAACATGTCAGTGCTCCGAAAAAGATATCACTCCATAAAAAAATATAATGGTAATTCAGAACCTTCAAGATACCGAGGGTCCCGATTGTTTGTTAGCATTGCATACTTCAGTAAATATTCAAAGTATGAGCTATGGTATACAAGGTAAAAAGTGAAAATTAAATAAGCATCTCATCAAGTAACTGTGTAACCGTAAGTCGACATGTGGTTGATGGGAGAACAAATAAGGATTGATTACCCAACTCTATGCCACCACCCCATGTGATGTAGTCACCAGCAACGCTAGCATTCCCAGGGTAGATTTCCAGAGAAGGTAACCCCGGAAATTCGTCAGGAAAAGCTGTTGCGAAAGGCAATAGTGTTTCAGGATAGTGAAATTTTGATCCAGCTGGTCTCTGAAGAGGATTGGATGTGCTTACTCATAATGGCTTTCATAGATTTGTCCGCCAGGGCGCGAAAGGTGTCGTTTCCAGTGTAGTGGCTCAAGCGGTCGAACTCTAAGATGAGTGTCCCAGCCTGTTTTTTTAAGAAGAAGAAAAGACTCAGGAAATATATCGAGGGCAAAAAAATTACATATCAGATAATTAGGGTAGCCTCTGGCACTAACACCTGCTACACTGTTGGTATCAATTGTTGGTGTGTTTGTTGTAAAGTTCAAACGTCCATAAGGAATTTGTTGTATCGGATGTGACCATGCATACGCCAGCTTGTTGCCCAGTTGATAGGCTCGATCCAATAAGTCTTTTCGGGTAAACCCACTCAGCTCATACGCTGTCTGCGATGGGCCAAGCTTCCGATCAGTCTTATATTCACGTGTTTCTACGTTTTATGGACGCCAAGCCTAGGACGAACACAGGCGTACCAATATTCCGCCAAGGTATCGAATTGTGGTCTCAAATACCGATACGGTCTGTAGTAGTGTACGATAGTCGTCAGTTATTACTACACTGTCGTAGAAGAGGGTTCCAAAAAGGCCTCCTCCTTCCTTTTGTACTTGCCAAAGTTCTTTACCTCATTGACATAACTGCGACTGAAATCAATTTTGGCTGTCTGTGTTAGACCGTGTTCAAATTCGTCCTTTTTTGAGAAGTGCAATACGTTTTTCATCATAATCAGCATCAGACTTAGAATGGCACGTTTATGCCACTCACATGTAGACCCATCATGAAAAGTGTGTCCAAGCTGTCTACAAGGGTAGCCCCCCTGGATAACGCACGCGGAGTGAGATCAAAGAGAAGATATATGGCGAAGGAATCCGCAGTCATCAGACCACGTTAATCCACTTACCAACCATTACGTGTGTTTGAGCCATTTTTAGACAGCGGCGCCACTGCACATTAAGGTTAGCAAATGGCATGCTGAGTACTACAGGCTTCAAATGACGTTTATGAATCCCGGGAAGTAAACATACCTTCGTCCGCAGGAAATCCCCAGCGAATGTAATCGGCATAAGCCTGTTGAAACTTGTGCTTGACAACTTCCGCGCGGGATGCGGCGAGGGCAGATTGACCTAGTCCCGGTTTTTGAAATTGAAACTTTGATTCAACTCGAAAGAGCATGAAGGGAAAAAGTGCGACCAAAAGCGTTACACGAAGCATGTTAGCCGATGTGAGAAAAGATCGTTCGACAAAACTCTGAACGGAGCTGAAAGTGAAAGAGATCGGAGTTGGCGTGTTGGCTGAGTGTAACGAATGATGGAGGAGACCAGCCTGAGAGTTGATGTGAGCCGGCAATCAACTTGGGTGTGCAATCTGCCCAGTTTGTTGGTTTGTGGCGCGCAAATGTGGCGCGCGCGAATGTCGACTTGCAGCGCAAAAACTATGATTCCAAGTGTCGCGTATAACGTCATTTCAGATTACTCCGCGAGTGGAATTAGAAGACCAGAAAACAAGAGGAAACATTCAACTTATGTGTATCAAGAAGTTCTTGTTCTTTCAAGGTACACAGCCATCTCAACAAAGATTGATTTCTTTTGAGAATCATGTCTTTTTTGAAAATCTCGCCACGGTGCTTCTAATCACGAAATCCTGACGTGAACACTCCAAAGATAAGTGTTATTATCTAGTTTTTCGCATTTGGGCGCTTCCCTCACACACAAACCTCACTTTACGTTACAGCGCCTTTTTTTAGATGTCAAGAGGTTCAAGGTCTTTTTAAGAAAATTATTCCGGATTCGACCAGAGAAACTAGCCATGTGTTTGTTTCAAGGTCTGATGTGTTACTCTTAGGTCAGGGAGACTGATGAATTCTCATGGAACTTTTACCACAACAGAGATTTCCAAACAATTCTGATCTGTTATTTCTTTTTGCAGTAACAACCAGTTATTTCCTCTTCATCATTTCTGGACTCTTGTTGAACTGAATAATTGACATATTTAGGTATGCGGTTGGGGCGTATTCAGCTTATGGGATTTTTAGGGGCAGAGCCTTGGAAGATCGGATCGGTTTGATTGGGTATCTTTTCTGACCGATCAGCATAATGGTGCATCAATAAAAGTTCATCCCAGTTCATCTTGAGTGTAGAAACACTCAATCGATTCAATTTATAAGGTTTCGTTATTTTGAACCAAACAAAGATTAGATCTGTGAGAAATGTTTCATGAGATACCGTGTGGAGGAAACTCCAGAGTCGAAATTTACTTGAATGCTTTGCTCCACTCTGTGTTGTGTAGGGAGTCACTTTTCTGAAGCTTTGGATTTCAGATGAAGTCCGGAGAGTAGCCACTTATTAGCGTTCGTCAAAACTCCCACCTGCAAAATCAGATAGGTACCCGTGAAGTGACCACAGTCATCGTGATTAACAAACAAAATGAAACAAGTCGACAGGCTCCGGGTTTGATGGAAGATGCGATACCCCGAGAGCATTTCCTCTGGATCGAAGCCGACGTCGAAAAGATCAAGAGATCTCTTGGGTGAGGCTTGAGTTGATGTGTAGAGCCCAAGGAGCCGATCATTTTTTAATAATCGTAGGATGCTGACCGACGACTGCTCCTCCTCGGTCATGATGTTGATCAACTTTGATAGTGTGCTACCAAATTGATTGATTCATTTTGGGTCGATAGGTTGGCATAGGTTCGCATATATGCGCCTCGAAGTTAACAACCCTCACTGCCTTCCTCACTGGCTCCACACACTTTCTTCTTCCTTGGTTCCACGTACTTTCAGAGCATTCTACTCTCATAGCTTTCTCGTTGGTGATATTCCTTCCGCAATCATCCCTCAAGATCCTTCTATTAGGTTGCTCTGCGACAGCTCTTGCTTGAATTTTGGAGTGTCGAAGTACTCATCGAGCTTTATTGGGTAAGCGTGCGTTTCTCATCTCATCACCTGGTCTCGTCATACCACAGGCCTTGTCAACGAGCCACATCCGTCCCGGGACATCCATGATCAAGACATGTTCTTCAATGTGCTTCTACAATCCATTCATGTCTTCGTTCACTTTGATATTGAAAGCAACACGAGTCCCGTGAATGTCATCAGAGTCTCATCTTCTCCTAAGTGCTCGAAATGCACATAGTCTTCTTTAAACACTCCAAGGCTCTTTCTGATCTGTGATTGATCTAGCACCATACACATAACAACAACACGATTTTCGATCATCAATTCGTGACTACTAACTGACTTCTATACTTGTCAATCTCACGTTACCTCTAGGCTCTAGCCAAGGCCAAAGATCGCAACCACATATTTTGCTCGAATTCTTTAATCCAATCATTATTCAAGCTCAAAAAGCAATTCCGCCTGACCTAAACAATACACTCTCTATCGAGCCTGCACCGATAAGCACAATGGCAACAGCTGGTCCACCAAGTGCAGAAAGCTATCAATCCATGGAGCGACCTACTTCCGCCCAAGATACATCTCCCCAATCTACACCAGGCCCAGGAGACACTCGATCTCCCAGCCCTCAAAAGTCCAAGTCTCGCGGTAAATTTTGGTCTTCCAAGCGCACGAATGAAAATACTGAGAGTCCCAACACCGCCCATGCGCCTTCGCCCAACGATCATCCTGAAATTTCCACTGTGGTGAGAAGCCCAGAGATCTTACCTGGCCCAGAAAATGCGGCAACTCCTCAGGCCCATCCGCGAAATGGTCATGAGCATGGAAAATCATTCGAAAGTTCAAGAAACAGGGACTTTGGCACTCCTACTGCTGAATCCTATGGGTCAATGAAAGCCTACAAAGTTTACAAACGTAGATTTGTGGGGCTCTTTATCCTTGCCCTCCTTAACGGTATCACAGCCGCCAATGCTGTCTTGTTCACCACTAGTACGTGTCATTTTATTGAAAGCTTCTCTTGACTATAATACACCCTTGCTTAAAGCAATCTCATACTAACATGGTTCCAATAATTTCTATCATCAAAAAGTTACCTCGCAAAGTTCGAAATTCTTTTCAATATCGGTAACAAGAGTAAACTGGCTTTCGTAAGTCAGGTTCCAATCATCTTGATTCTTCAACAAATCCTTTCACACCAGATTGCACCTCCCATTGAAACTGAGATATATATATATTTAAAATCAACCAGAAACATCTTTGCGGTGATGTATTTGATTTTGGGATGGACAGTGCCATCACTAGTTGAGACTTGTGCAATCCAAGGTATTTGTGCAATGGCGGCTATTGCAATGACACTGGGCGCTTGGTACGTATTCAACTCTTTCGTTGGTTGCCTCGTTGAATCATGGATACTATATCAGTCGCTGCCTGTGAATTAATCTCTTTCCCTGATATGGTCATGTTCAAGGTTACGATATGCGGCGTCTTGTGTTCCAGACATTCAGTCCGATGATTATATCATGCCACCATATCTCTTACTGTTTGTTGGATCGATGTTAATAGGAGTAGCTCAACCTATGTTACAGATCATCGGTCCAAGTTATAGTGAACTCTTCTTCACGCCGAGATCTCGACTAGCAGCAACAATGTTGATAGCGATCTCAAACCCATTGGGCCAAGCGATAACAGATTTAGTGGTTCCAAAGATCGTACCAGAGATTTCTACTCATCGTGAAATTCGGTTACTTCTCCTAATCATCGCCATCGTCACAATGATTTTCTCTTTTACGGTACTTTTCATTCGATCACAACCACCTACTCCGCCCTCGATGACTTGTGAACTTCCAAGACTTTCATCAGGCGCTTCTTGGAGGGTTCTTTTTGGCGGACGTCAAAAATCCACAACAGATGTCGAGGAGAAATCAGAACCTGCTTTATCTCGTCGAGCTACCGTCACTGTTGTTCGTCGTAACTCGGCTCTTCAATTCGAATTGGAACGTCCCAATACATTTAACTCGGAGACCGACGATGACCATTCGGTATCCTCTGAGAGTCTAGGTAAACTTTCCAAGAAGAGTCGGGTTGATTTGGCGCTGTTGGCAATTCTATTTGCAGTCATCATGGGTGAGTTTCGGCTTGGCTGCTAAATCCATCACATTCGTCTTTGAGGAGTTGTGCTGATGATGATGATGTGATATTAGGGGCTTTCACTGCTTACACTACATTGATCAATCAAATCTATATCCGTGAGTAGACACTATTCTTCTTCATACGATGATATCATGTTCATCAGACATGTTTTATGCATCGTTCAACTGATTGCTTACCTTTAAACTTTCAGCATATGGTTTTGACTCAACTCAGGCTGGGCTCTTTGTCGCCTCTTTGATCTTCCCTGGAGTAATCGCTGCAACTGTCTTGTTACCTTTCATGGGCCGTTCCTGTCCAAAGATATGCGTTCAGCTTGTGAAGATTTTTGGACCATTGATCGGTTTAGCATATGCTGGATTAATTTGGATTGTCAAAGGACGTGATATGGGTGGAATTCACTTGACGAATATATTGATCGGAGTCTTTAGCTTGTGAGTAGAGTTCAACACTGACCGAGAGCAAAGGAGGGACGATGTTGACGAATCTGTGATTTTAGCATGACTGTACCTATTGTTCTTGAATTGGCTGCGGATGTGACTTATACGGCCATGAGACCAGAGTTCTCTAGTGCGCTCTTGTACACATCTGCTAGTGGTCAGTCATCTCACTTCATATCCTTTCAAAGGTTATAAAATCTAATGACCTTCTGAATCGTCACTTTGGAATATCCAGGTGTCGCTTTACTCTTCTCTGTCATCATGGAAGCCTTACAAGGAAGTGATGATGGACCTACCCCTCGTGATATGTATCGATCTCTAATCTTCCAGGTCAGTAAACCTTATTTAGTCACAATTGATAATCATGAGCTTTGCTGATTGTGAGACATACTTTTGATTTAATTAGGGTGGAGCTGTACTGTTAGCTGCTCTGACTATTATTGGTCTACAAGGTAAACAACGTCGACCAGATCTCAAAACAAGAAGAAGATCTAGAAGAGCACAGGCATGAAAAAGAAAAAGGAAAAAAAAATAGATTTTTTTATTTTGAAGGAAGTGAATGAATTTAATTTTCTTCGCTATGATTAGGAGTTTGAGAAGCAAAAAAAGGACAAGAAGGAGTTTTTTATTGAGACCTTGCTTTTTTTTTTGGTTTTTTTTTTTTTTGGTTTTATGTTGATAAATATGTAAATTTTGTATAAAAATTTGAGAAGCGAAATCTTGTGGATATATTGATTAAGAAGTACAAGAGTTGTTCTAGGCTTTGAATCCATCTCCACTAATTGAGCTTATTGAAAAAATACTTGATAGAGAAAGAGAAAGCGCGCGTGTGTGACAAGAGAGTTGAAGTTAGCAGACACAAAGCTTAGATGTGAAGTATCTATTCAGGGTGTCAAGAAGAGGAGTGAGTATATCTATAGAATCTTAAGTAAAGAAGGCTAAAATCCTTGTGAAAATTCAGATCATCTATAACACAATAGTCAAAAAATGCAGCAAACAATGAATGCTAATAAGAAGCACATAACAAGAGACAGAGTGGTCCACAATTTTAACGGCTGGAAAATATTTATCTCAATAGTTTATTTCCTCTTGGCCTTTGGTGAGGAAGGAACCACTTGCACTGATCATCATCTCTCTACTGCATTAATCTTAGTTCACTTTGAATCAGAACCTAGAAGGAATTTACCTTTACAATTTGCATATTTTTGAAAAGGTCATCAGCTAAAACAAAGAATAAGAATAAGTGTCAAGCTACAATTTTTTCTTTCACTGAGATCATACTGGTAACAAAGTCTTGAGAAATTATTAGTGTCATTTTGAACAGGTGTGAAGTACATAACACTCAAAAAGAGTGAACCTTGACAAAGAATTTGATTGAATTCATTTCCTTGCATATATCATCTTTGGTACCTTTGAATTCTATCAAATCCTTGCTGCAGCTGAACAAATTTCATGGATGTGATGTGTTCTGTGAAGTCTACATAGCTGCAACCTTCCAAGCTTCATGTACACCTTCTGGGTGAATGAGTTCTAATGGCTGGGTGGGCAATACCCATTCTGCATACAGTTAGCTCTCATTCTCCTTGACCACTTTACTATTTTGTATCTTGTCTACAGTATCACAGCTTCATATAGTGTTTTGATATCTCTGATACATACACAGAGGCCCCCAAATTCTCTAAAGGACAATATTGGTTGTGTTCAGGTGATCAGCTTGTTTTGCTCATATTTTGCTTGACATTGCTGGAGAATGCTCATTTCCATCTTGGATGAGCATGCTTTGAGCCCAGATGAGCACTCAGGATCAGCTCATGAGTCATTTCATACTCAGAACCTGGTCCAAAATGAAAATGAACCCAGGGTAATTTTTATCAAGTTGGTCAGCAAGTTCAGTTCTTATACTAAATTGATTACACAAAGAAAATTGTCAAAGCCATGAACTCATCCATTTTATCAACTGCTTTCTATCCACCTCTCCTTTATAAAAAAATCCGAAAAACAAAATTATTTCAATAATATCATCACATCATCATCATCCACAAATCACAAATCACAAATCACAAAAAAAATCATATACAGTATGACATCTCTATTTTGTTTACCAAATTCATATCCTCCTTGCAAAAACAAAGGAAAAAGAGAATCAAAACCAAGAATAGATACAGAAATAGAAACAGAGAGAGAGAGAAAGAGAGAGAGAAGAGATAAAAAGAAGAGAACGCAATAGAACAAAGAAAGAAGAAAAAGAAGAAAAAAGAGAAGATTAATTGTTAAGAACAATTGTAAACTCTACTTCGATATAGCCTTTCATGCATATCTTTGTGAAAGATCACCAAAATAATCAGCAAGCTATTGAAAAAGAAAGAAAAAAATACCAAACAAACAAATCAGTTTAAATGAAATCAACAAAGAAGCACGAAAAGATGATTGAAAACTAACTTTCATAGCACCAGATCTAATTCCATCTTGAAGTTCATCAATATTATTATAACCAGCAGCTTTCATGGCAGTCTTAGCTAAATCTCTGGCACTTTGTTCTAATCCTTGTAATCCATCTACTCCTAGAATACTTTCTTGTGCTTGATCTAACATCATTTCGTTTTGTTCTTCTCTACCAAAATATTGATTTGATGAAATTGAAGTAGCACCTGAGAATTGAGTTAATCGGGTTTTAGCTTCGGATGCTAAATTGGCATCATAATTGTTTCTTTCAAAAAACATATCAGATGAAATTGCTAAAATTTTTCAAAATTCCAAAATCGTTTGACAAACAACGAAAAAGTCAATAAGCTATTTGTTGAATTCAACGTTTCTAACCAAATCACCAAAGCTTACCTTTTTGATTTCCAAATCTTTCACGCGCAATTGTACCAGGTGCTTCTTCTACATAACCAGAAGCAGCACGAGCAGCAGCTTTCTTTTGTTTTTCTGCTAAAGTAGCTGATTCTTCACCTGACATACCAAAACTTTGACCGAAGCCTAATTTTCTAAATCCCATGCCTAATCTTTCATCTTCTACACCTGGATTACCAGTCGGTTTAGTTGAAGAATTAGGACTTATAGATTTAGTATTGTTTTGTAAAGGTTTAGGAACAGTAGAATTCATCGAATTAGTTTCACTCGGAGTGATTTGTTCTGCTTTGGAATCATAACCTAGTTTTTTGATTCGTTCTTCTTCTTCTTTTGCTTTCTTTTCTGCTTCTTCAAAGTTGATAGTCACTCCTGCTTTCTTGGCTCCAAGTTTGACTTTCCCAGTCGCACCTAATTTACTTGCACCTAAACTACTTTTACTCTTTGCACTCGTACCAAGACCAGAGGTGGAATTATTGGATCTGAGACTAGATGATTGAACAGTACGAGGTTGAGGTGAAGCGGTAGATGTAGTAGGTTTTCCTGCAACGTTCGAAGCCGGTTTCGACACACTACCCAGAGTCTTGGCAGCATTACTAGCAGGAGCGATTGTAGGAGTAGTCGAAGCAGGTTTATCCCAACTTTCGAAAAAATCATCATCCTTCTTAGTTGAAGTCCCTTCCGCATTTGAAGCATTAGCAAGACCTTCGAAATGTACTCGACCCGATCCAAATTGAGCTTCATCAGCTAAACAACGACGTTTTAATTCATCTTTATATAAATCAGAAGCTTTTGATGAATATTTAGCTTTCACATCACCCGATGATGTATAAGAACCTGGATGTTTAGATAAAAAATCTTGAAATGAGCTATTACCAGCTACTTTCATAGTACGTAATTGGACCCAAGTCCATTGATCTAAATTAGTTGATCTATATGAAAAAAACAAACAGTCAGAAAACAATGATGAATTTTCATAAAGTTGGATATCGTAAGATATTGATCAGATCATTCTTACCTTACAAAACTGATATGAACACCCATATTACGATGAACACTAGAACAATCTAAACAAATATAAACACCAAATGTAACACTACTCCAAGTTGGATTCTTAGCACCACAATCGAAGCACATCTAATCAAAGTAAAGAAGATGATTATTCAGTGATAAGGATCAATGTATATCAAGAAAAACCAAAGAACTAACTTTATTGCCCTTTTGATTCTTGAGTAAAGCAAAGATTTGAGCAATTTCAGCTTTAGTTGGTTCGATAGCCATTCTTGAAGATTAGAAAGTATGAGGATTGGTTTGATTTGTATGAAAGTTGATTTGACTGAAGAAGTTAATGGTAATGAAGGTAATCAACAAGTTGGATTCAATTTACTACACTCACACCACAACCACACGTGTCACCGTCAAGATTTCATCATCTCTCTTGACATCCTCAGCTCTCATCTGTGACATCCCTTACATATCACTTTTGCTTCAAAGTTCACCACAACACTCAAAACACAAAACACAACCAAACTATTCACACTAAAAGATCTCATTATTGTTTAGATCATCAGCAAATAACCACAAATCATAAAGGACAAAATACTCCACATAATTGACTATATCCACACAGCCATGATGTTTTTTTAAATTCATCTAAAATGATAATGAGCGATTTTAAAGGAAAATCAATCTGATTAAAAAATCTCAAAGTTTTGATTTTGAGAAATCAGTGTAAATAATGAAAACATATAAATCAATGTATATACTTAGTCTCAAAAAATATGCTAGAATCGATACAATTCGTCTTAATGATGAATGACGTCAATTCGTAAATAAAAACACACTCAGAAAAATGAAACAAAAACAAAATTTAAAAAAACATATCAAACCTTTCTGTGAAAAAGATAATGTAGATGATGATGATGATGATGATCATACTAAGAGCTACCTAACAAATTATCATCCTTTAAATTTTATACTTGAACGTCTTCAAAAATTCACCCATCTCCTCATCTCATCTCATGTTTTGTTGTTGTAAAAAAATCAATCTTCTTTCGGAAAATAAACTTTTTCAATCACTGTTTTAACAGTTCTAGTCTACAAAAATCAAAACCAAAAAAAAGAACGTCAATCAAACCAAGATCTCTAAAAAAGAAACCCAAACTAATAAGATTAATGAAAAAATGATACTTACTTCATATAAAATTCTACCATCTTCATCTTTAGATTTTCTAACGACTCGATTCTCAGAACAAGTAGTTTTAATTTCAACTTCAATTTTTTCCTCATCTTCAAATTGATTCAAGTTATTTATTGAGTTTTCAATTAATAATCCAACTTCATTTAAAATAGGTTTAGATCTTAAACCTTTAATGATTTCAGTTTTAGCAGGTTGATTGAATTTTTGTATAATCACACCTGTATCTTTTTTATCAATCGTATCTTTTGAGTTTGTAGGTTTTGAAAGTGAGGATAAAGTTGATGAGATTTTGATTTGTTTAGTCGGTCTTTTGGGTAGTTTTTTGGTGGTTTCTTTTGTGGTTTCAGTTTGATATGATTCAATTGAATTACTTGATGATTCAGTTGATGCTTTTCTTTTGACTTTGATATGAAATGGTGAATTATTCGATTTAGTTGAAAGATCTTCCGATGAAGTTTTAACAGGGTTGATCGATTGGTGATCAAGTGCTTCTAAAAACTTTGTTGTTTTGGGGCCTTCATCCACCAAGTTCAAAGATGAAAGAACTAATTGTCGAAGTGATGTAACCGTCTTTTTTGGATCAGATATTCTTTCTTGATCTATATCATCTTTTAATGTTGACTTCTTGACGTCAGAACCAGAATGTTGAACAGTAAGCTCTGTGTTGTTTAGGTGTAAGATAAGAAACTCGGATAATGCTAGTAAACCGGTCAAGATTCGCTCAGGAATCCTATCAACAGAGTCTAAATTGATTAAAGAGTTTTTTGTCGATGATGAGAGTTGAGAAGGACTTGCTAATGAAGTGAGTGAAGATGCCTCCAACTTTTTTTGATAATGATTTGCAACATACCATAACATACGAATAAAAAACGGAAATCGAAACTTTTTAGGTACCTTTGTATTATTTTCAATCTCATGAACTCTTAATTGAATTGGAATATTTAAACTATGAAGATAATTTCCACCAAAGACTAATGAATCAATAGGAGTATAAACTGCATGAATCCAACCTGTAGGTATGATCATCGTATGACCAGCTTGAAGTGATACTTTATATACTATATCTACTTGATCTCCTAACCAAGTTGATTCTTGTAAATCTGGATCTCCTGACCATTTTTCGTATTTTTGTAGGTTTGAAGGTGTTGGTCGGATGAAATAAAATGTTTTACTACCTCGAAGTACGTGATAGAATACCGAGGAACCTGCAAAATCTATGTGCCAATCCTAAAAGTTGAACCCATACCAGGCAAAGCAGAAAATTGGAAACAATGAGACACAGTTCAAATGAGGCATCTTTACAATGGCAAAGGCCTCATGAGGAAGAGTGGAACAGAAGGGAAAGGCAGGCTTCTGCCAACATGATGAGAGTTAAACGCTCAAGCAATGACCATATGTACATCTCTTATGCTACTTGATAAAGAAATTACTTACTGTCCAACACCTCGCAACACTCATCAGACAATATTTTTGAACTTTGGGGTATGCTTTACTACCTGCGACTCGCACATCTTGTGGCCAAATGGTTTCCACCCAATCCATCTCTCTTACAATACGCGGTAACTCTATAGAATTATTTAATGCAGTTTCCGTGACTTCCAAACTGATCACATTCCTAACTTTATCACGTTTAGGATCTTCGTAATAAGTAGCCCATTGATCTAATGTCCATCTAGATAACTCAGATTGACTAGCCACATCGATAACTTCAACAGGTGTATCAGGTCCCACAATATTGGAGATTTGTCGAATGGTGATGGTTGGAGAAGGCATCTTCATTCCCAGTGCACGAAGGGCATCATCATCATCAATCAGAATCGGCTCAGACATCGCGCTCTCGTCCTCTAGAAGCCAAGACATCGTCAAGTCTGTTCCTTTTACTCGACGGAACGGTTTCGAGAAGAGCGCATTAGATTGCTAAAAGGATTCAGTCACGTAGACCGGATGGATCAAAAGGCGTAAGGCCTATTTGTATTGCCAATCTCTGACTAGATTCTGTTTTGACATGGATAGTAAGATTTCACTTACGCATGCTGAAGATGATAAGCCATCTACGATATTTTGCCGATCCTGTGCCATGTTGATAAAGCGATCAGGATCAGACGCGTGCAGTGAGTCTTGATCGGCATAATTGATTTTAGATGTCGCTCGTTTAGACTTTCTTGGTGGGTCTTTGAACTTTGGTTTCAAGTCTGGATTTGAACTGCTACAAGGAGCACAATACCACTAAAGACAAGTTATAAATTCATCAGATGAACATGTTTGTCTAGAGGTTTAAGAGTCAGGATACATGACTTCTTGGGGGCTTCAAAGTGCATGTTCGAATGGACTTGACGCGATTAAGGTTCTTAAACTTGCCTCGTCTACAATATCAATAGGATCCAATAAATTACGTGCCACACAAGCCCAGTGCCAAGGTGTTTGACATCTGTTTTGAGGATATAATCCATGAGCTGTTCCAAGAATGACATCGAATCGATTAAGAATGATCCAATGAGCTTGGAACATACAAATTACAAGAGATCCAACTTGTCGTTCGGAAACATTCCTTTTTCAGACACTTTTGACACTTTTTCTCGTTAGAGAGTTGTGCTTGAGAGGTGTTCAAGCATGGGTCAAGTTTGAGGTCATTCGATGGTTCAGAGTTAATTGTTGAAGTCGAAGGATGTTGTAGTGCCATGATGTCGATGAGTTGTAGGTTGAATCAAGTACTCTAGAATGATAATATGTTATCTTCAAGAGTCCTTTACTTTTTGATATCGATGGATTGGACGATGAATGGATTCTAATTGGCTATCCTTCCCTTCTCGACTCAGTAAAAGGGTCCATCTCTTTCTCAGCCCTGAGTGACAGCTTTCAATCTTTTACAGCCCCGACGAACTCATCTCTGGTCAGTTTCACATACAAATCACACCAGGTTCACATCTTCAAGAGTTTCACATTTGTTCAGCATCGATTTGCAGCTCGGACTCAAACCTCTCGTGAAAGCTGTTGAAGAAGACATTGCCTCAAGTTTTTTCAAGATGAGAGGCATGACCAGATTCTATACAATTCCCCTTCAAGGGAACACGCTTCCTCAAAGAAAGAGAAAAAGAAAACCAAATGCTAGTAAAACTAAGCTGAACATTGATCCTTCATAAATCACAAGGAAGTCATTCAAAAATCATTCAATCATTGATGGTTAAAAGCCATTATATTTTTGAAATTGTTGAAAAAAGAAGTTTTCCGTTTCTCAATCCTACTCTGTTTCCTTTCTCCAGAATGAAGATCCTACTGTTCAAAGACGAACAATTGTGATTATATGAACAAGTTAACATCTGATTCCTCCAAACAGGTTTGTCAATTACAAAAACATCTATTCTCATATAACAATATATACAACTCCAAGAAACCGAATCTCAAATTGAATCCGGGTCAATCAGATAATCCTCAATCTTCTTTCTCATCTCCTCATAATTCCTAGTCTCTTGAGTTTTTCCTTCTTGATCAATTGAGTCTAATACATAATCTGGAAATTGTGTCCATAGATGTGGACTAGTAGATTGAATAGTGGAAGAAGGCCGTAAAGATTGGTCACAAAATGTACCCATACATGAGTAGCAAAGGTGATCCGCAAGGTTCATTGTCGTTTCATCAGGTTTTGACTGAAGAGTGGGTTCTGTAGTCGAGTGTGATGCTAGTGTGATTGACTTTTTCCAGGAATTGGCGCAAGGATCCGATGGTCTATTACAGAGAAAAAAGGTCGAGTTATTACTAGTCTTCAGTTGTTTGGATAGTAGCTAGGCAAGGAATTCATGAGGTGAACTGACAATCTACAGGAAGGACATATTCTACTGGTTGTACTACCAGCCGTCCCCTCAGTATTTGGGGATCGATACCCAATTTTGTTAGCTGCGCGATTGATAACCGAGCTAGTCATAGGGTAGTCTCCTTCGAGCTTTGTAATAAAATCTAGAACAATGGAAATCTATCAGTGGTAGGGTCTAAGATAAGTCCGTGAAGTTCAGAGGGAAAATTACCTGTGATCAGCGAGGGGATTGTCACCGTCTTACTCGTTTTTACTGTCGTTGGGCTAGGTGGATCTTTGGAGTGTGATGCCAAGTTGTTGAGTAAGATATAATGATGAACTTCAGCGTCGACCATCTGTAAGATAGGTCGACAGATGAAAACATCTAGAGTGATCAATGACAATGCAAAGTCGGATTTTTCAAGTCAGTAACGTGAATGATCAATTTCCGAACGTCATAAAGGTAAAAATCTTGTGACAAACTATCTGAAAAAGATGTTCCTCCGATTTGTTCAGCGATACCCCAGCCTCCACCAAGGCTCACACCCACAAGGGTATCAATGGCCATGGACGTCGTTGTGGATGACTTCAATAATACTTTTGGCCGTTCGGCATGCACATCGTTTTTAGCACAAAATCTCAGCAATGACGAAAAAACAAGCTGGGAAATAAGTGTGACTCTTGATGTTGGTGTAAGAGGCTCTAACAGAGTGCACAAGGGTGTTGTTGGAGAAACTGGTGCCGTGATTTTGAAAGCTGTATCAATCGGAAAGTCTAGTGATAGAAATCTAGAGGTCAATTTCACACTGATATCATAGGATAAGGAGTCATTCAAGATACTCAACTCGTATCACGAAGATCAACCAAACCTTGATTTTTCGTGTGACCATTTGGTACGGCCGATGTTGCAGATCCTGAAAACATATCATCCAGGTTTAGGAGAACAAATTTGAATCCAAAGTCCTCGACTGTCCTGCGAATCCGGCATTCCTCCGCTTCAGAGGTAAACGCAGACGCTCCACCTATTTTTAGCTGCTACAAGGATGACGATTCTTAAGCACTAGGTAAAATGAAGATGGAAATGAAGTTATGGCACTGCACTTGATCGGTATCTGATGTAAAACATGTATGACTGCTTCCCAAACCAACGCAAACAACTTCTACGCCTGAAAAATCTACCGGACATTGCCACTTAGACGTGGATCGAGTATCATTGGATTGTATATACCTTCTCAGAAGATCTAATAAACAACTGTTCAGCAACAGGAAATATCAAAAACATCATAAGATGGGTCCCACGTGGTTTATAGAGAATAAAAAGGAAATCGACACTAACAGGCAGGCTGGGGTGTCGGTATAATGGACCACAAGCGAACCGCAGTTTTGTGCTTCCTTTGATTGCCCTTTAGGTGGCCGACAATATTCCTTGGCGGGTCTCAGGCCTTGCGCAAACTTGTTCGTAACTTGAGAGGAAAAGCAATTTCTGTTATCATGCTCTTCAGCCAGGTATCCAAGACCAGTATGATACGTGATTTGGAGACGCCACCCACCGACACCAAGGAGTATTGCGGATATGGACATCAACTTCCTGGGACTGACATCGACAACACCGATTTGCCTGCGACTCTGAGGCTGCTGATTTCCGTTCATCCACGCGCACAGCAAATGAGTAGATAGTTTGACAGTCAGTTGAAGGGTCCGTATAGCAAATCGACGTGTTAAGATGCAATGTTCGCTGAAGCGTCTTGATATGTCCCCCTTTCTGGGTGCGATGTTTTGCTGACTGAAGCGTAAGATACACTGCCAAAACACTACGCCAAAATAATGAAAATTCTGGTAGCTTTTGTTATCATTGATGGATGGATATGCCCAATGGACCAATATTGTGACTCATGATAACGAAGTAAAATTCTAGGCGGACTGATCGACCTTTAGACGAGGGAAACACTTGTTCACCTTGAGGAATTGATAAGATTTCGTCCTCGTCGTTTTCTAGAATACGACCACAAGACATTTCGAAGAGTTTCTAGGATTGAAATGAAAAATGCAACCGGCGGAGAATTTCGAGGTTTGTATCTGTGTACCGTGTCAACATACCGAAGCAGCCCCGCATATACCCTGCTACAAGTACCGAGCGCCGCCGCATCATGCATGCGCTGTTTGTCTATTTCCCGTTCCACACCCAGACCTTTTCTTAAAGATTGAAAGATTTGTACACTTTCATTCCTACTTGCAGGACCTGGACCAAGGAGATCGGCCGCGGAACGCAGGACGAGTCGTCACGAGATGAATAATAATTGACTCAACTCAAAAAAATGCCCCGCTGATAATTTCTCATGTAACTGGGATCGATTGAAGAATATCAGAAACAGCCAAACTTGTCCAAGTCCCTCGCTGCTTCTTGCACGCTTGTAGCTGTAAAGGACGTATGTCCTCACTCAAAGTCAAGTCTTAAGGAAGTGTCTCTCGGAGGGAATGGCTGATCAAATGCCACAATCGTGGACTTTGGATGTCTAGAACCAATGTATGATGATATTGTATTTCTAGATCTAGCTCCAAAGGATGTGATTACGAGATCAGTCTCGAATTCCCTCAGGAAATGATAATAATAGAAAAGAGAAACTGATAGTGAAAGAGAAATATGAAATGATAATAACACTGAGTGCTTACCTAGCTCCAAAGGATGTGATTACGAGATCAGTCTCGAATTCCCTGAGGAGCTAGTCTGCAGCGTGAAGAATTTTGAATATATGAAAAACAACGTAAGGTCTAAGTCTAAGGTCTAGGTATATTTATGGTTATGATAATATGCTTGTAATGATGCTGACTGTAAGTATCATTACATTCTCCCCCCCTATAAAAAAAACTTGAGAAGGGTTCGTACCAGAGAGAAATGAAAAAGAGAAGCAAGAAGAAAAAGAAAAAGATAAAGCAATTATAAAAAGAGAAAAGAAAGAAACTAGAGACGAAAAGAAAATAGTAAAATAGTAGCAAAAGAAAAAAATAAAATAAAAGGGAAAAGAACAGAACTAAAAGGATAAAATCTTGACAGCCGTGAGGTCGAGTTGACTGGTTTGATCCGCCCTCCGAGTATCTGAAGTAACAAACAAGAAAGGATCCCAATAGACGCTCACGGTGTGGCCAAGGTAATGTTTTCTTCACAACGGCGTAGTACGGCCCGGCGGTGCATACTAAGGAGAGAACTTACTTCTGGTCCATTGACCCATTCGTCAAGTCCTCCTGTTCCACGAAGAGCTTGAGTTTTGAAATGTTGAAGACGTTGTGTCGTTTGTCTCCCGTCGGTAAATCAACACGTACGCTCTGACCCTCGTTGAAGGTGGCAAGAACCTTGTACGGCCCCTCATAGCGCTCCTTCAATTTATCTACTCCCCCTGAATGACGCCCTCGCCAGTCGCCCGAGTCGAGAAGAACCCAGTCGTCCACGTTCACCGTGACATTGGAATGACGCTTATTGTGTTGCAAAGCCTGCTGAACTCTACTCGTCCATAGATTATCGCGGACCTGGGCCCACGTTCCCTCGCGGCGTCGAAGCCAGGCTTCTAAGGATGCTGGTGTATCATCTTCGACTTGATGCGTTGGGAAAAGTCTTGCAGGTCGGCCAAAAACGCACTCGAAGGGGGACAACCCAGTCGCCACGTTCACAGCGCTATTGATAGCAAATTCGACCGAGGGAAGGGAGTCTAGCCACTTACTTTGGCGCTTTGCGGTGAACGTGCGCAAGATCTGTCCGACGGTCTTGTTTGTGCGCTCGCTTCTTCCATCCGCTTGAGGGTGGTACGCCGAAGAGCGATGAAAGGAAACATTGAGCTTATCCATCAGCGTTTTCCAAAACTTGGAAGCCCAAGCCTTATCCCGATCACTGATGATCGATGTTGGGGCACCTAGCGTTCCTAGCCACGCGCCAAAGAAACGTGACGCCGTCCTTTCCGCCGTATCTGTCTGGTTAGTCGGAATGAGTTTAGTGAACCCGGTCAGTCGGCACGTGCATGTCAGGAGCATGTCATAGGAATTAATCTTCGGAAGAGGACCGATGAAGTCAATCGCAATGTCAGAGAGTGGTTTCTTGGGTATTTCGGGTGTCTTCATTCAACCATTGGGGAGGGAGGTCCTGGCTTTCGTCTTCTGGCAGGTTTCGCAGCCTTTCAGTCGGATCTCAACACCTTTAAGCATCCGTGGCCAAAAGAAATCCGCTCGCAGTGATGCCACCGTCTTCAATAACCCCAGATGACCCACTCGCTTGTGAGCTTCGTCGATGAGGCGAGTACGAAGATCTCCTGAATCCGGGACCAAAAGCCTCCCATCAATGAAAACAAGACCTTCATCCTCATAGCAATCTTCTCTCAATGGCATGCCGTCCTTGACCGCTAAACAGAATTTGTCGGCAGAGTAACCCTCAATCACTGATCGTCGAAAGTCTTCAGAGAGATTGGTCTGAGACGAAACCAGCGCCGCCACCGTTTCAACGCCAACCTGTAAGTCTTCACTGTCTTTTCGGGACAAGGCGTCAGCTACGGAGTTGTCCTCGCCCTTCACGTATTGAAAGTTGAGATCAAAATCGGCCAGTTGCTCCAGCCATCGGGCTTGTCGCCACTAAGGGATCGTGCTCAAAAGGA